GAGCCAGGGGATTCGAACTTAAGACTGCGCATCTTAACAACAGATCCCAAAAAAAAAAAAAACTCATCCTACCACTTGAGCTACCAAGTGTGCGTTCCACTAATCTTTTCAAAGCACAAAAAATTTAGGTAGTCTCTTCCATGCAATATATTTTATTCTCTTATATCATTAGTCATTCTTTATTTTATTTTATTTATTTATTTTTTGGTGTAGAGTAATTTTTTTCTTAATTTTCAATTATATAAAGATTATAATGTGGGTATGACGAATTACTTTTTTTTTTTTTTTTTTAGGGTATTTGAGGTATCCAGGCCCACATTGGAGTTTGCCTAGTCCTTAGGGCCCTAGAACATCCCATAAGCTCAGTGGACCAAGGTAATTGCACAAATGTGATAGACACCTCTCCTGCGACTCAAACACAAGACCCCCTGAGTATAACTAACTCTAGTGGCTAAAGGGTTTACTATTCGACCACAAGGGGAGACTCTTTTGCAGTATTGTCAATATGGACTCCTTTAACGAAGGTCACAACAAGGTTATTTTTCTAATGGGATCAACGGGCACTGGAAAAAACCAAACTTTCCATTTTGCTAGCCACTTATTTTCCAATGGAAATTATCAATTCTAACAAAATTTAAGTTTACAAAGGTCTTGATATTATCACCATTTATTAGGGTTTAGGTGTCTCACCACTTCTTTGGGTCTTATAAACCCTAATGAAGATTTCATAGTTCAAGAGTTTGGTCACCTTAACCCTAATGACCATTCATTGTATTATACAAAACGGTTGTATCCCGATCATTGGGGATGGTTCCAACAACTATATACAGAGCTCTCATGGAAGATCCAAGTTGTATTCTCTAGTTGGATGCCGCTTTACCAACTTTTGTAGCGAAAATGAGTTGATCAGTGGTGGAATTAGGGTTAGTTGATGAAGTCATCATAAAAGTGTTTCATCCAAAAGCCACCTCTGTGTTTGATAAAAGTGGCCAGGAAAGAACAAAGAAGCAGAAGAAGCCTGGGAGAAAATGGTGATGGAAACCAAGATTACAGTTTATTATTGGCGGATTCTTGAAGAAAGATGTGGGATCTAATGGGCTGGGCTTTGAAGCCCATGAAACACGCGATCTTCGAGGCGTTTGGTTTATGTGGCTTCAACTTCAACTTATACGACACACAGTCGGCGGAGGGCGGTCTGAAAGTTGGAGATCAACCGCCACAAAAATTGGTGATGTCATAAGTCTCACTTCGGAATTTTATTTTATTTTTTATTAATATTAGGGAAAACAACTTTTTCTCACCAAGGTTTACCTTAATGACACTTTCCTATCTAAAAAGTTTCAAAATACTATTTTTTCACCCAAAGTTAAGATTTTATTACTACCTAAAACCGATTCCGATGCCAAAAATTCTCCTCATCATCACCATTTAAACTTCTAATCTCCTTTCTAGAAAATCCCTCTCATTACGGTACCTGATTTCTCGTCGATTGTCAACCACCGCAAAGCTAGAGTTTCATGTTCTTAGCTAATTTCTGGATGATTCCAAGGGCGAATATTCAATTGACCACCGCCATTTGATCCACTGGCCTCCACTCTACAAAAACCCTCTTATGCTAGCTTTTGGTAACTCATCAAACACTGGCTGAGAAAGTAAAGTGTATTTTTGATATTAATGGAATATAAATGTTGGGTGAGAAAGTAGTATTTTGAAACTTTTTGAGTAGAAGATTGTCATTAAGGTAAACCTTGGGTGGGAAAAAGACGTTTGCTCTTATTATTATTGTAAAATGGAGTATTTAACAGTTAAGAGATTCTTTTACGTAAACATAATATTTAAATTAAAATAATTAATTATTAGTGCAAGTTGAGTTTAATATATATATATTCAGCTTGCACACCTAATTTTAGGCTTAGCAAAGTAACCAAACAGATTCCGAGAAAATGTGGAAGAATTTTTGCATAATAACAGGAACCATTATCCATAATTCCAAGGATGAAGATGAGGATGAAGAAAAAAGATGATGAAGAGGGAGATCGTTCACGTGACTTTAACCATCACTAGGTGGTTCAATGATCAATTACCACTCTTGGATATATTATTTAAGAGATTATGAGTTTGATTCACCTAAGTTGTTAATAAAGGGTAATCACTGAAGGGATTTACTCGATTATCAATTTTAAGGTCCTGGAAAATTTATTGAGGTGTGGTTCAATAATCAATTAAGACTTTTGGATATATTATTTAAGAGGTTATAAGTTCGATCTATCTAAGTTGTTAATAGGGATATTCACAGAGAAGATTTATTCAACTATTAATTTTAAGGTCCCAAAAAATTTATTAAAATACGTATAAAATAACTCAAACACCTAAAAAAAAAAAAAAAAAAAAAAAAAAAAAAAAAAAAAAAAAAGAGGGTTATTGATGATGAAGACTAATCATTCACGTGATTATGGAGACCAAGGCAACAGAGCAGGTGGTGTTACCAAGCACGTGACGGGAAACAGATTCTTCTGTGTGAGGTGACGTAGCGTGGAATCAAAATCTATTATATTGTCTCTCACAAATGGCGGCCTCAATTCTCAACCATTACATTTCCGCCACGTGTTTCCACGCTTGTGACGTGTCAACCTGACTGTGACTCGGCAAAATGCACGCGGAGAATAATAAATAACTCGCTTTCGTTTAGGCTTTTATAAAAGGCTATCTGATCTCATGAGTCTCCGTATAAACGCCCCCTGGATTTCGTCACTAATTACATAACTGCCACTACGTTCAAACAGTTTCCGGAATTAACATTAATTTTAATTAAGCACATAATTAAAAAAAAAATTAGAAATAATTTGTTTCGTCTACGTCAAAATTAGTGCATGATATTATTTTAATTATATTATTTTATTATTTATTAAAATTTTAATTAAATTTCTTGGTCAGCAAGTTTCTATATCAAGTTCATAATAGTATATATTTCTATTAATTCTTGAATTGTTTTAACATATTTATTTTGGTGAATTTTTTCAACGACTCTATCACAGTAAACATCGATCAAAATCAGGTATATTCTTCTTATTTCCTGATTCTTTTTATGATTTTTACGTAATGTGTAATCATTTGTGTTCTATTATAGTTTAAGCATTTTAATTTCCGAAAAGAAAAATGACTTCTAAACTATCAACGGTAGTCCAACAGTAAAGGCCGACCAAGGGGACTGTGTAGGACTTCAACTTACAGTCCCAAGTTCAGTTCCACCCTAGACGTAATACTTTTATCCATAATTTACTTATAGGGTCACGATGGTGGGTTGCTATGGAATAATTTCCTTTAAGGATTAGTTATCAAAATTTATAGGTTATTTATTTATTTTATGTTGATATATTTTAATTTTTTGCTATTATTTTGCAATGCAGACTCTTTTATCTCATGTTCAGTACATTAAAATTTGTCATAGTATAGTAATAATATTAAGCTAATTTTGAGTAAAAAAAAAAAAATAAGATATTGAAATTTATCGTTATAATAAAGTTTTTAAAACTCATAGTTTTATATTATTTTGCATGCTTAATTAAATTACGTAATTAAGAATAAATTTTATGATTATGAAAAAGACCCAACATGCAATTAATAATACGTAATAGCTTGGATTAGGTTATGGGTTAGTTGGATTAGCTTAATTTAATTGAATTAGTGGATATTCATATGGCTTGACCACATATAAGGGTATTATCGTCATTTGAAAAAAAATATTCCGGCTGTCTTTTGTTGTTTTATTAGTTATTACCACTTTTCTTGGAGCTCAAGCCACCAACTTCCTTACCACTCTAAACTTTTATAGTTAAAAAAAAAAAAAAAAAAAAAAAAAGTAAAATCACTTTCTCCAATTTTGTAGCTATTTCATTAAGTATATTTAAACTATGAGTTATCTTACCTTGTATCTTTAGAGCATATGTTTTTGTTTTTTTTTTTTTTGGGTGATCAAAGGTGTTCAAACTAGCTTATACGTACTTTGAATAATCTTTTGGAGTTGTAAAGTTAACGACCGTTAAACTTTCTAGTGGTCACTCCTATTAACAACCAAGGAAAATCGAAAATCTTTTCAGTAATATATCATGTTAACACCACTAAGGAAAAAAAAAAAAAGATTATTTTCATACATTTTATTTATAAACAGATAGTAAAACCTAATTTAAGATGTATTCATGCAATTAATTTTTTGTCAGTTTGTAGTCTCGGTGTGTATTTCTAATATTAGATTCCATTTAACCACCACTGGATGACCAAATGATCAACTAGGACTATTAAGTGTATTACTTAAGAGATTTTAAGTTTGATCCATCTGAATTGTTAATAGGAATGACCATTGAGAGAATTTACTTGGCTATCAACTTCAAGACCCCGAGAGATTAGTTGAGGTATACGTAAACTGACCCAAACACCCCGATCACCAAAATATATATATATATACACACACATTAGATTCCATCTTTCTATATATTAAAATCCTGTTAAGGATATTAACTACATCAAAAATTTTTACAAAATTTTATATTTTCATAAAATTTAACCTAATACATTAAATTACTTTCAGGTTGTTTTTGCTTTTGACAATGTAAAAGCACTTTTTAGAAAAAGTGCTTTCTTTCTTTCTTTCTTTCTGTCTGGCTAGTTACAGCTTGCGTGGTTTTGGTTTGGTAATAGTTGCTTAGCCCTTTGAAACTGCAAAAGAAAAGAGGTATTCTATAGAGAGAGAGTGTGAGAAATATATTGCTTTCCGCGTTTTCCACCATGTCCATCCATATATATATATATACAAATACCTTCCCATTTCACCATTTCTCTCATGCGTGCAAGCTATTCTCAAATCTCGATAATTTCCAACATTAATTCTTGGCCCTTAACGGTTTTAATTCTCTTTAAGCTTCTTCCTTCTTCGTTCACCTCTTGTTTTTCTCTCTTCCTTCCCTTTTTATCAACCACTTTGCTTCTCTAATCTTTCCCAAACTTTTCTCTCATCTTCTTCTTCTTCTCACTTATCTCTTTATCTGGGTTTTGTTTTTGATCCAAGCTATGGGGGGCAATATGAGCAAGAAGCCCGCTGAAGCTTCTTCTTCCCAATTCACAACTGAACTCATCTCCTATGAGGCCGCTTGCCGTCTTGACGCCGACTTGCAGACCTTCGACACCACCTTGCAGGAGCGAACCAGTCACGTAATCAATACTCTCGCCGTTGGCGTTGAAGTTCGGGCGCTGTCGTTTGATTCTCTGAAGGAGGTTACTGAGTGTCTTCTGGAGATGAACCAGGAGGTGGTTAAGGTTATCTTGGAATGTAAGAAAGATATCTGGAAGAGTCAGGAGTTGTTCGAGCTGGTCGAGGAGTATTTCGAGAGTAGCCTGCAGACTCTGGATTTCTGTACTTCATTGGAGAAGTGCTTGAAGCGCGCTCGGGATAGCCAGTTGCTGATTCTGGTGGCGCTGCAACAATTCGAGGAGGAGAATAACGAGATGGGAGCTGGGCAGAGGTATGTGAGGACTCTTGAGGAATTGAAGAATTTCAAGGCTGCTGGGGATCCTTTCACTGAAGATTTCTTCCAGATATTTCAATCTGTTTATAAGCAACAGGTATCGATGCTCGTGAAATTGCAATTGAGGAAGAACAAGCTTGATAAGAAGCTGAAATACATCCATTCTTGGAGGAAGGTTTCGAGTATAATATTTGCTGCTACTTGTGCTACTGTGTTGATTTGCTCAGTCGTGGCTGCCGCCATGGCTGCCCCGCCTGTTGCAGCAGCGCTTGCAGCTGCTAGTTCTATCCCTCTGGGTTCAATGGGGAAATGGATTGATTCTCTGTGGAAAAACTATGAGAATGCATTGAAAGGACAGAAGGAGGTGATCACTTCAATGCAAGTGGGTACTTATATAGCTATCAAGGACTTGGACAACATTCGGGTTCTAATCGATCGAATAGAGATCGAGATTGAAGCTCTTCTGCAGAATGTGGACTTTGTGATCGAGGAAGAAGCTGTGAAGATTGGAATCGAGGAGATCAAGAAGAAGCTGGGTGTGTTCATGAAGAATGTTGAAGATCTGGGAGTGCAGGCTGATACATGCAGCCGCGATATTCGGAGGGCAAGGACTGTGGTTCTCCAGAGGATCATAAAGCATCCTAACCATTGAATCTGCTGGTAGGTAGTGTTCTTCTCTCTGGACAGATTTCTAATTTCCATGTGCTGTATTATAACAAGAAGATGCTGAATTTCATTGATTCTTAGACTGTATGTTGGATACACATATCTGGATCTAGGAAAAAAAAAATAAAAAAAAATGCAAGACTGCTAAGTTATTTGTTTTTATTCTTTCCTAGGCAATAGATGCTTTCAGATTCTAGCTTGACATTGTGTATTGTAATCATCAATTGTACTAGATTACTGATTTGAACTAAATTCTTAAATTCTTTTTTGATTCCAGTCTCTGTTTAATGTAGCTGACTACTCATGGCAATATCATTAATGTGAGATTTTAAATTCAGATTTTAAGCATAAGCATTCGATTTAAATTCCTAAATCCCACTGGAAAAAGCCTGTTCAAAAGTTGTATGGCTAGTGATTAAACACAGCTTTAACGAAATCGAGAACTGGCACAGGGCAAACATCGAAATAGGTAGCAGATGCCAAATAGGCACAAACTAAAGAAACATAAATCTTAAACCAAATGGATGAGAAAAGTGTGAATTATGTATAACATTAAATTATCACATAAAGATAAAGATAGCTATTGAGAGATACTGAAAAGCATGAGTAAAATAAGTTCACCGGTGACATTTTTGAAGGCCGGATATAGATTTCCTAAATCCCAATGGAAAAAGCCTGTTCAAAAGTTGTATGGCTAGTGATTAAACATAGCTTTAACGAAGTCGAGAACTGGCATAGGGCGAACATCGAAATAGGTAGCAGATGCCAAATAGGCACAAACTAAGGAAACATAAATCTTAAACCAAATGGATGAGAAAAGTGTGAAATATGTAGTTGCACTAATCAAGGCAATCACAGCCGTTAAGTTTACAAGGCACTTAACTGTGGAGAGCTCTGCTTCTGTTCCTTCATGAGGGAAATGTCCTTGAGAATAAAAATTAGAAAGCAACTTGTCCTTGAGCTGAAATGTAGTAATCAACCAAGCACTAACCTCCTCCTCAGATGTTGGGATGTCAATGATAGGGATACGTCGGACATTCATATGAACTTCGGAGGGATCCACCCCGAAGACATTATCTAAAAAAGTTGGGCAACGATGCTTGTAGCCAATGGTCACATCATAAACTGCATCAGTACAGAAAACAATCAAATAAATTGTGAAAAGACACCAGTAAATGAAGAGTCACAAGGATGCTGTATAAAATTTTAGAAACATAGACTGGATTGGATTTAATAAGGATCTGATGTCATATTGTGTAGTAGTAAGACAAGCTAATCAACCGAAGAGACAAACTAAATCTTGTGATCAACAGTTTAATGTAGAGTGAAACAGAATATGTTGTAATGATAAGATGACAGGATAAAATAGAGAGTAATATGGAAGATCTAACAAAATTTTAGAGCCAACTATTAGTTGATTATCACATTGCATGGCCAACAGAAGGAATAAGGGAAAAAAAAAAAGAAATTAAGCGAACTCAACCAAATCCAACTATCTGACATATATGAGCTGACAGATAAGCATAAGCTTAGGCCCCTTGTAACAAGGGATTTGACTAGTGTTCTTAATGTGTAAGTGTTCTAGTATAGTGTCATGCCTATCCAATATATCATTGCGTGAATTTTTGTAGATTAAAAATAAAAATACAAGCACCTCAAGACGATTCAAATGGGGAATGCGTCTCTCTGTTTCTCCTCAATCTAATTTTGTAATTTTTCCCTAATTATTTATATTGAATGAGTATCATCACTAAACTACCCTGAAAGTTATAAAATTCAATAAATTATAATAAATTGAATTCCAGAAGCAAAATTCAAACACAATTTTGGCAAATAATTATTAACTCGTTTCTTTCTACTGACACAGGAACACTGGTGACATAGGCTTCCACAAGTTATACCAGCCAGTAGAATAATCCTCTTCCCTTAAATATAGATTTATTTAGATTTATTTTGTTCCTTGGTAAGTCTTGTTCAATTCAATCCAGTTGCACTTAAAATGATCTCCTTACAAACCAAAATCAATTGGTTGGGGTTCTAATGTATAAAAAGTATCATAATTACAGAACATATGCATTTAAATATCATTACGCAGCAAAGAACAAAAATAAAACAAACCTGCATCCAGTGATCCCCTCAAATCTTCCAAGCAGGCACAAAATCCCTTCTGTTTTGGGAGCAGCACATTTTTCAGGATAGGTAAGCCATTTTCAGCTGCATATTTTTGACTTCTTATGCACTTCTGTTCACTAGTTAAAAAGAAAGAACTTCAGTGATTAAATGAATCAAAAAGCAACAATAAAGTAAAGAGTATGCTGTTGAAGAAAATTGGTAAAATCCATATACACAGAAAATGTTATTGCTAAACTTCTCAAAACATCATGTTTATATACAACAATACTAATTGAGTGAACATGAAGCATCGAACCGCTAAAATGAATGAAAGAAGAAATTACGTAAAATCTGTGCCTTCTGGGAACAGAGCAAGCCAGAGGGGTTCCCCAGGATCTTTAAAAGTTGAAAGCATTTTGCGCATGTTTGATTCATCAACTTCCCACCTTCTCTCCACTGAGATGAACTCCAAAATGTGAAATCCCCAACCAAATACAGGTAATTTCATCAGACTACTCTTAAGGATATACTTAATATATCCATGGCATCCCTTCCGCAATGCAAGGTCCCACAAGTACATCCAATCAACCTCAGTTCTGTGGTTTGCAATAAGTAAAATACGTTCCCTTGCCGGAACAAACTCTCCAGAAAAAACAACTTTAGTCTTATTTATCTTTTCAAAGAGAAAAGGCCACAAAGCTAGCCAAGCACCAAAGAAAAAGGACGTTGCTTTCCTGCTGTAACGTATGCTAAAAAGTCGCAACATGACAGCACTCAGAAAACCCCAATAGACTAACATCATAAATGCTGTCACAAGTAACACCAGTAAACATATCAGACCCCTAAACACCCTTGGCAGGGTCATTGGGCGATGCCTTATTCCATTGTTGGAGCTTCTAAGTTCCATAGGCCCCAAAATCTGATTAGAAACTTGTCAGAGGTAGATACACTGCCTCAGATAAATATATATTAACAGTATGTTTAGGTGTCACAGGGTCATTATTTATGAAAAATAATAAAGAGACAATCAAACTCCCAATGGCAGGCACTTGTATTTGAGAACTGAAATTTCAAGTCCCTAGAAACCAAGCAGTGACTTGCTCACCTAAGAATGCCTCCACCATAATAGACACCTTCAGGAAGTTATGCACAGAACTGCATTTATCAAGACACCCTGCAGAAAGAGCGGCAATAAGAAATTTAGTATGATCTTGTTGTATGCAACATAGTGAAGGAAAAGAGTGGTAAACTGGGAAGAATGATTGTAAAGTCCAAAGGCCTTTACCAAATGTAACAATACACAGAATCTTTCATTATTTAATTTTCTTTTACAGGCAGTTTTTCTTTTATTTTCAAAAGAAAATCAAGAGTTATAAGATCAACAATTAAACCAGTAACTTGACTGGCATACATTCTGGACATTCATTCGGTGATAAATTAAAAAGAACATCACTCCTTGAAAAGTAGCATTATCTTTCTTCATACGAACCATCTAAATAATCCTAATAAGCCAATGAATACCATTTTATTCCATCACATAAGTGAAGACCGATGAGTACTCGTTTGTTTTTTTGGCCTTGCTTCTACTATTCTAATTCTACTTGCCAAAACTCTGGTGAAACAGCTGCACCAACAAATTATGGTATGTTGGGGAGTGATCTAGTGAAAAATTATTTCAAGCAAAAACACTTACATAAACTGATAAAAGCATTCAAACACTTTAATAACAAAAAAAGAAAAATCACATATCAAACGCTTATCCACAAAGTGCTTTCCAGAAAAAAAATAACATATATCTATCAAGTTTTTCTCTAAGAAACTCTGTCTATGCTTTCTGATCCAGGACGATGCTTATGCAAACTTAAGCTAAAGGCTATAAAGAACACACAAACATTCAACTAATTCACGTTTGAAAATGCCAAAAGCACTTCCAATCTCACTACAAACAAACCGACTAAAAGTAAAATACACTAGCTGATCATAAACTTTATAAAAAGAAAACAGTACGAAGTCTCGTGACGTTTAAGTTGAGAACGAAACTGCCGATCTAAATCAGACTGTAGCATGAATCTAAATCCTAAGCAGAAGCAAAAGCTGACTTCGATTTCCGAATGTGAAAACTTACGCAACAAAAAATAAATACGATATAAGAACTACTCTCGTATGTAACCTTTAAGTAACAAGCTAAGATCCAAATATTCGAATATTTCTACCTTTCTAGCGTTTATTTCTCGGGAACCAAACAGATATAGAATAAAATCATAAATGGAAAAGAAAATAGTTTACCTTCTATAATTGTAGTTTGGTGCAAGGAAAAGAGCGCTTTCTGGAACTCTGCATTGTTGAGAACTGCAGCGGGGGAGACTCTGTGGCGAAAAGAGGCTCCATTTGCTTTAAATTACGCTTTCTGCCACAGCTTACTGCTTAGTTCTGACATAACAACGTGAAAAATTGCTCAACGGCACGTTCATTTTTCTTATTTTTAATAATTGTTTTTTTTAATTTTATTTATTTGGATGAAATAAAAATAAAAATATAAGAAAATAAATGTTTTCCTATATCTTTAACTATGGGAATTAAGTAAAAAAAAAAAAATTATGCTCAAAGTTTTTAAATTCTGAACAATAAAAATGTTCAATCTTAAAAACGAAACCAAAAAAAAAAAAATACGAAAAAAGAATACGATCATACATAATTTAAAGATAACAATAGTATAATATTTTAAATTATTATAATATAAGTTTTTATATTTTTATTCAAAATAGTCACTTTAATGAAATATTTAGAATGATAAACTATACTATGGTTGGTAACTTATTTATTAATTTATTATGAAAATTTGTAAAAAAAAAAATTATTAATATTTATCGTGAAAGAAAAAAAATATAGGTCATATATTTGATTTGCACCAACCTTTTCTCCACCTTTATTATTAAAATTAAAAATGGATTAAAGTTAATGATATTGTCAAGTTTGATTTTTTTTTATGATCGAGGGTGTCTGGACCAATTTACGTGCACCTCAACTAATTTCTCGGGACCTTGAGACTACCAATCGAGTAAGAGTTTCAATGGTTACCCATATTGACCTCTTGAGTGATATATTCAAAACTCTCTATCAAACCACTAAGCGCCCAAGGGTAGTTGTCAAGGTTGAATTTGACAATATAATTTCTTTAATTTATAATGTTCGCAAGATAGACTAAATATATTTCATAGTTGTATATTCAAATATATTTCGATTAATTTAATTTTCAAGGTAATTTTAGTGAAAAAAAATTAACACAATGTTTTACTTGAACATAATGATAATAAGGAAAAGAGTTAGTTTTATATAATTGTAATTAATTATACTTTATTGTATAAAATAAAGGGTTAAACTATATTAACTTAAAATTTTTATTTAGAGGTTTTTTTTTTTTTTTTTGTTAACTGAAGTGTCCGGACTAGTTTACGCACACTTCGATTAATCCTCGGGAAGCTATCCTACAGTAACCCACCGTTGCGGCCACCCAGATAAATTATGGATAAATATACTGCCTTTGTACCCAATGAGGAATCAAACTTGGGACTGTGGGTTAAAACGATGCCCAGTTCCTTTCTTTACTACCAACCAACTTCTTAACCATCAAATATGAAAAGAAAATTAGAGAAAATTATTTTATTTACAATCCAGCAACTTATTAACATTAGATTATAATGAATTGATGGTCAATTTTTTTTTTTTTTGTTTAAATCTAAGTCAAAATAATAAATTAGCATAAATAAAACACATACAAATTGTATATTTAGTAAATACTTATAAATCTAATACTAATTTTTTTTTTTTTTTTTTCAGTCATAATGAAATATCCATTCCACAACAAACAAGCAAACATAAGAGGAAAAAATGAAAGCCTTAAAAAAAGATGTCTGTTAGGGCCAAAAAATGTCTTTGGCCCAAATAGGATAACACTACTGACTAAAAGGAAAGCCTAGGTCCAATCCCGAGGTAGCCCAAGCCAGAATTCCCCAGATGAGGCCCATTTGGTATGAAGTGCAGTCGGTCCATACCATCTGGACCCGGGCCTCTTGATCCTAGCACACCTTCTGGGCTTATGGTCAAATTCTGAGCCCACAGTCACCTACAGATTACACTCCAGCTTGAACTCTGATAAGGAAGTCGACTACTATCCCACTTCCTCCAAGGTCTGTATCCGAGTCATGCTCGAACTCCCTTTCACGCCAGGATAAGGGGGCCAAAGGATACACTCCTAGGACGAACGATTACTACAAGGACTCCCAATCCCACCAAGATTGGGAAACCATACAATCACTATTTAAACAGAGGCCAGCCCTCTCACAAGGGACATCGATATTACACCCTCAGACCCTGAAGTTTCTACTCTTGAGAACTTCGCATTACAGCCGTAGTCACAGTCCCCGACTAGACTTCCGGTAACCTTTCTTCTCCCTAGCCATTACTAAATTAGTCTCATTCAGCTTTGCTGACTTGAGCGTCGGAGTGCCTACGACAAACACCACCCTGGTGTTTTTTGTCGCTTCACGTTTGTTTCCTTACGTGTATAGGTGCAACTGATTGCTAGTGGCCTCAACCTCATGGGATCAGTCCCTCTTTCCGTACAGGTAGATTTTCATGTCTACAGTTTGGCGCCTACCGTGGGACCTCTAGCAATCATTCGTCTCAACGTACCCTGCTACGTGAAGAAACTCTCCATGGCTAACAATTTTGACAACACTAACCCTGGCCTCGAGGCCAAACTGGAGGCTCTGATTGCCCTCATGCAACAGCACTCAGACAAGGTGGCAGCATTGGAAGCTGAGAACACTACCATCCGAACCGAAAACACATCCATTCGGGCGAGAACCAATCTCTAAAAGAGAAGGTAAGTCAGTTTTATGATCTTGAGCTTCTGCCTTGTCAAGTACCACCCAATCGGTTTCGCGCCACAGGTCCATCTATGCAACCTCTCCAAACTCTAGAGCACGGACCTGCGACCTTAGATAAGAGGTCACGTCAACTGTGTTCGTCGTTGGTAGACGATTCAGCCCTAACTCACCATGAACGGGGCCTGCCAATGGAACCCCTCTTGGTTGATCCGCCTTAGGCACAAGATCAAGGCGTCCAAGTGGCATAAAACCCACTACAACAAGAACCGCCCATCCTCGCCATCCCACCTCACCTTTAGTCAACCATCCATATGCAAACTCCACTCGGCTCGGCTCGACTCATCCTCGTGGGTCGAGCGGTCACCCACTTTAAACCATCCCGCTCGAGTCCATCCATCCCAATGGACCCAGCAAATACCAAATAACCCTCCTAACCATTCATGCAGGGCAAAACACCTGATCAGTTACAATGGGAGTCACCCAACCAGGGGGAATGAATGGGGATCCAGGCTAACAAACAATACATGAATAAATGATCCACCAGACTACACTACGAGGATTGACCCAACAAAATGCATCGAGTGCGAATCCTATGGCCAACCAAGTCAATCAGGATGACCTAGTGGTATCTGCCTCTCCCATGGAACAGATATTGGCCAAGAGACTGGCCGACGTAGAGGCAGTGATAAGGCGCATACCAAGAATGTCAATCCCTACTAAAAAGAGCAAGCCTTACTGCTATACCGATTCGCCTTTCGTGGATGCTATCGCACTAGCCGACATGCCCCACAAATTCATTATCCCTGGCATGAAGCCCTATGATGGCACAACCCACCCAGATGATCATATAGCCTCGTACAAGTAGCGGATGTTCATCGTCTCAATACCTCGAACACTAAGGGAAGCCTGCATGTGCAAGAGTTTTGGTTCAAGCATTTCTGGTCCAGCTCTTCAGTGGTACACTAACCTCTCGAACAGTTCAATCAACTCATTTGCACAGCTCATCGACACTTTCATTGAGCCGCTGAGAGAGTACGTCAGCAGATTCAACAAAGAAAAAATCTCCATCTCCTCTTACAACCTGGAGACAGCTGTAGACGCCTTCAGGAAGGGTCTCCTCCCGGATGGTGAACTATACAAAGAACTGACGAAGCTTGGTTGCACCACGATGGAAAACACCTTGGCTAGAGCAGTGATTCAAATAAGGTGGGAGGAAGATGAGATGAATCAGGCAAGTCATGCCAGATATGACCCAAGGCGGAATGATAGGAAGCCAGAGCTCAGATTGATTGAACATCGTCACCAACCCCCTCTACGCAATCTGAACAAAGTCAAAAAACCATATGACCGCCAACCATTTAGAACCAACAACAGACCAACTAGATCGAGCCAATACAAAATCCCAAAGTACAACCTTAACATCAAACCAACCCCGATCGTGGCAATCATGAAAGGAATGGGATCTAGCATTAAGTGGCCAAGGAAGCTCAATGCCGAAGCAAGGAGGGACACGACCAAGTGGTGTGAGTTCCACTGCGACCATAGACATAACACCGCGAATTGCATTGTCTTACGGTTGGAGGTCGCCGTACTACTGAAGAGGGGACTTCTCCGAGATCTGTTGACAGATAAAGGGAAGAATACCATCAGCTAGAAAAGCACAAAAGAAACATCTCCAACTCCACAGGAACCAACGCCAAAAGGATTCTGCTCAATCATCTCAGAAGGGTCAGAGATCAGTGGGGTCAGTTATTATTCCCTAGCCAAATGTTACGCCAGAGCCAACAACCACCATGAAATCCAATCCATCCATCCGTCCTCTTAGTCACACTCCCACTAGGTGATTCAGTTCAAAGATGACGAGCCAGTCACCATAGCCGCCCCTCATCACGATGCTCTAGTCATCTCCCTCCAGATCGCCAATATCCTGGTCAGGAGAGTATTTATAGATGAGGAGTCCTCGGCAAACATTTTCTTCCTTGAAGTAGTGAAAGCCATGAGTCTAGAAGAAACAAACATCAACAGGTGACCAACCATACTGGTTGAGTCCAGTTCTGAGCAGAAATACACCATCGAAGAAATCATTCTTCCTGTTTATCCCAGCAGAGTAAACAAGCAAACCATTTTTCTAGTGATCGACTATCCTTCACCATACAACGTCATTTTGGGCCGACCATGGGTTCATGACATGCGAGTTGTTCCATCCATCTTCCACCAAACCATCAGATTTCCAACAAAATAAGGAGTAAGGGAAATCAAGGGCGACCCTAAAGCTTCCAGAGATTGTTACAAGAACTCCTTCAAAAGCAAAGGTCATGCTTCATAGCAACTACAGTCTCATCTAACTCCTCCGACCGAGCTGGATCAACCATCTATGGAAGAGTTGGATGAAGTGTAAATACACCCAGAAGACCCCGAAAGAAAGACCCATATAGGTTCTCGCCTTGGGCTTGAGACAAGAGAGAAACTCATAGAATTCCTTAAACAAAACCAGGACTGTTTCGCCTGGTCCCACGCTGACATGACAGGAGTCAGCCCAGAAGCAATCATCCACCACCTCAAAGTAGATGTGGATCACCCCCCAGTGAAGCAGAAGCACAGGAAATTCGCACCAGAGCACAATTGGATCGTTAATGAGGAGATTGATAAGTTATTGAATAATAGTTTGATCAGAGAGGTCCACTACCTCGACTAGCTAGCAAACGTTGTGGTCATAAAGAAAAGAACGGAAAGTTGAGAGTCTGTATTGACTTCACAGATTTAAAGAAAGCATGCCCTAAGGACTCCTTCCCGCTCCCACATATCAATATGATGGTTGATGTGACTGCAGGCCACGAGCTCCTAAGTTTCATGGATGCCTTCTCATGGTACAACTAGATTTTGATGCACCGACAACCAGGAGAAAACAACCTTTATCATAGAGAGGGGAACCTACTGCTACAAGGTGATGTTGTTCGATCACAAGAACGTAAGGGCTACCTATCAGTGGCTAGTCAACATAATGTTTGCCGAATACCTCGAGGACACCATGGAGGTTTACATCGACGACATGCTCGTCAAGTCCCTAATGACCTAGCAGCACCTCGACCACCTTAGCCAGGCGTTCACCATCCTAAGGAAGTATAACATGAAGCTGAATCCAGCCAAATGCTTATTCGGTGTCTTGTCAGGTAAATTCTTGGGATACATGGTAACTCAGTGAAGAATAGAAGCCAACCCTGACCAAATCAGAGCGAACCTCAATATACTGTCACCAACTTGCATCAAAGACGTCCAGCGCTTACAAGATGAGTAGTCGCCTTGAGCTGCTTCATCTCCAGATCCGTTGACAAGTGCCACCACTTCTTCCACACACTCAAGAAATCTAAGAAGTTCGAGTGGACCCCTTCCTGCAAGGAAGCCCTGCAATAATTGAAGAAATACTTGACCTCCCCTCCGCTCATTTGCAAGCCTGTAGATTAGGAGAAGCTTTACACCTATCTGGCAGTCTCAGAGACAGCAATCTCAGCAGTGTTAGTTTGGGAAGATGATACGAAGTAGCTACCAGTTTATTATGTAAGTAAGTCACTCCTCGACGCAGAAACACGATACAGTCAGCTAGAGAAACTTGCCCTTGCCCTTGCCCTCATCCTCGTCCTCGTCCTCGTCCTCGTCCATGCATCCAGGAAGCTTAGGCCATACTTTCAATGCCACTCCATAGTCGTACTCACCTCTTTCCCACTCAAGAAGATACTACACAAGCCAGAGTTATTAGGCTGACTCACGTAATGGACGGTAAAGCTTAGTGAGTTTGACATATCTTTCCAATCACGTACTCTCGTCAAGTCCCAAGCACTGGCAGACTTCATTGCTGATTTCACCCCGAACATCACCGTCCAAGCAGAAAGAGAGTTATTATGTATGAATAGCAGGTCACCTTCAAAGTGGATTCTCTTAGTGGATGGCTTAAGCAATGTGAATGGAAGTTGGGTTAGTACTAACTACACCAGAGGAAGACGTCATCCAGCAGGCCATATGATGTGGATTCAAGTGCACCAACAACGAAGTTGAATACAAGGCTCTCATCATTGGACTCTCCCTAGCTAAAGAAATCGGAGTAAGGAGGCTGGAGGTAAAGTCCGACTCCCAACTTGTGGTCAACCAGCTGCAAGGCACTTACCAAACCCGCGACTCGAAGATGACAGCTTACTTGAACCTGGTCAAAGTATTACAAACCGAATTCAAAGAATTCTCCATCGCCCAAGTCCCAAGAGTGGAGAATACTCATGCTGACGCCCTTGCTAACCTCGGCTTAGCCCTTCAATGTTCTTCCCAGTCATCCATCCCTCTTTTATTCCTACAATGGAACTGGAAGGAACAATTAATAAACAAGTCGCCCGAAGAAGTAATGGACATCGAACTGGCCGACTTCTGGATGACCCCGATAGTGAAGTACTTGGAACACAATGAGCTCACAGCCGACAAGAATGAAGCATGCCGCTTAAGAGCGAGAGCCGCCAGGTTCACCATGTATGAGGGCCAACTCCTTAGGAAGTCATTCTCTGATCCCTACCTCAAGGGCATAAGCCTAGAAGAGGCCAAACGGGTTCTCGTCAAACTCCATGAAGGGGAATGTGGAAATCATACAGGAGGATGCAGTCCTGCACACCAGGTGATCACTACTAGATACTATTGGCCAACCATACATGCTGATTCAGTAGCTTATGTGAAAAAATGTGACAGTTGTCAAAGGTTCGCCCACGTCTCACACCTCCCACCCGAGCGACTCCACTCCACTCTCATACCTTGGCCATTCATGAAGTGGGGAATTGATATCGTAGGAAAGCTCCTAACCGTGCCCAGGCAGTGAGTCTTCGTGTTGGCTATGACTGATTACTTTACCAAGTGGATCGAAGCTGAAGCATTCGCACAAGTCAGAGACCGAGAGGTAAAAGCTTTCATTTGGAAACATGTCATCTGCAGGTTTGGGATATCGAAGGAAATCGTCACCGACAATGGATCCCAATTCATCAATTCAGGATTCAGGGATTTCTGCGACATGTGGGGAATCAAGCTAAGTTTCTTTATCCTCCGTAACCCCCAGTCCAATGGCCAAGCGGAATCATCGAACAAAACCATCATGCAGACTTTGAAAATACGCCTGCAGAAAACCAAGGGTGCATGGGCAGATGAACTACCAAGAGTCATTTGGTCCTACTGAACTACAACCCGCTTATCTATGGGCGGAACTTCTTTCTCCCTCGCATATGGATCTGAAGCAGTCATCCCAGCTGAAGTATCGATTCCTTCCACTAGACTCCAATGGGTGGACGAGGAAATCAACAACTAGAACCTTGCCAGAACCTAGACACCATCGATGAGTTACGCGAGCGGGCGAACATCCGCAATGCAGTCTATCAATAGTAGGCCGCTCGACACTACAACTGCAACGTCAGGATTAGAACTTTCAAAACAAGCAATTGGGTCCTCCGCAAGGTCTCTCAAAACACTAGGGAGATCAACTCTAGCAAGCTCGGCCCTACCTAGGAGGTCCCTACAAGATCATCAAAGAAGCAGGGAAAGGTGTCTACCGACTCCAAACCCCCGAAGGCAAAGACATCAGCAACAATTGGAATGTAGTCCATCTCAAACGCAACTACTTTTAGGTGAACTCATTCATCTACATAATTGTTTTCTTTATATTTTTATTTAAAAAAGGATGAATGGGCCTATCCACCTCTTTCACAGACAGTCGGCCTCATGTCCCGAATTCAATGAAGCATTATTAAGCAATTTACACCTTCAAATCGGCCTTGCCCAATTCACGAGTTTACACCTTCGATCGGCCCTGCCCGATTAACGAGTTTACACCTTCGAATCGGCCCTACCTAATTCATGAGTCTACACATTCGAATCAGCCCTACCTGATTCACGAGTTTGCACATTCGAATCGACCCTGCTCGATTCACGAGTTTACACCTTCGATCGGCCCTACCCGATTCACGAGTTTACACATTCGATCGGCCCTACCCGATTCACGAGTTTGCACCTTCGATTGGCCCTATTCTATTCCTGATTTTACACCTTCGATCAGCTCTACACAATTCGTGAGTTTTCACACCTTCGATTGGCCTTGCCTGATTCACGAGTTTACACCTTTGATCGGCCCTGCTCGATTCGTGAGTTTTTCACACCTTTGATCGGCCCTGCCCGATTCACGAGTTTACACCTTCGAATCGGCCCTGCCTGATTCACGAGTTTACACCTTTGAATTGGCTCTACCCGATTCATGAGTTTACACCTTCAATCGGCCCTGCCCAATTCACAAGTTTACACCTTCGATCGGCCCTGCCCGATTCATGAATTTACACATTCAGTCGGCCCAAACCGATTGAAGGGTACTTGCACCTCAAAATCGACAAGTCATCGACCCAACCCAATAGAGAGTCCACACAACTCAGCCACTCGGCCGCACCAAAGTCATAACACAAGCATGCGGTTCAACCTCTAGTGCATCTACAAACAAATAAGCAATCAACTTATTCGCCTATAAGGAAAGCACCAAAAACATAATCAAAAGTATAATACAAAAGAAGCCTCAAGCAGCTGAGTTCCAAGTACAATGTGAGGCACACACGCCAAGAAAGGGCATCGCAGGCCCCAAAATACATGAGCAATAGCAAAAAAAAAAAAAAAAAAAAAAAAAAAAAAAGTAAGTGTCATCGGTGCGAGTCGTTTCACTCATCTTTGACTCAATCACCCTATCACCGCCCTAGCACCTCGCCCCTGCAGCCTGGCGCTCACATCCTTAGTATCGAAGGCCCCGATTAGCTAGCAAAGTCAACACCTGCTCATCAATCTGCTCCTCCGTATGCCCAGCGGCCTCCTCCTTCATCATCTCCTGCATGAGATGGATGTCTTCATAGGTTCCAGTGAGAGTGTTCCCGGCCTTGTATTCAAGCAAAAGCTCACCTTGCCGTGGGCCGTGCCATGCCGCATGTATGATGTATATTGCTAGGGTTACCACCCATAGAGGTAGTTGTGGGTCGTGCCGTGTCTAAAAATTCAAAGCTCATCTTGCCGTGGGCCGTGCCTTGCCAAGGCCTGCATAGTTTCATGCCCTGTCATGCCGTGCTGGCCCACGACATGGCCCGTTAATATCGTGCCATGCTTTGGGCCATGCCATGGGCCCCCCGTGCTTGTAAAAATATTTAATTTTAATATTTATAATAATGGTAATTTTGATTTATATTAAAATTATTTTTAAAATATTTTATATGTTATATTTAGTGACATTTTATATTTATATTAATTAAAAATATATATACATTATGAAATATAAAATAATAAACACTGAAATATAATTGAATTTCAATACTTTTTATTACTAAAGTTACAATTATAAATTACAACAAACTTAGAAATTAGGATTAAGAATTTATAAATCTTCATTTCATTAATTTCTAAATTCTTAAAATCTTCAAATATATTTTCAACAACACATTTTGAAGCTTGAAACTGACGCCACCAATCTTTCATACACAGAATGGCTTCAACACCATTTTAAAAAAAACTATTAATTTATTATTTTTTAATTTTATTTTTTCGTGTATGTTCGTGCTCACGGGCTTTTTTAAGGTCCACGGCACGGCCCACTATTTTTCGTGCCGGGCTGTGCCGTGCTTTTTTTCGTGTCATGCCTTATCGTGCCATGCTTTTTTCGTGCCGTGCCGTGTTGTGGGCTGACACGACCCACCGCCGGCTCTAATCACCCATAGACTTATTATATGCATATTTCCATCTGAATTTATGATATGCATTATTTTGTTTTCAGAAAAAGGATTTGGTAATAAAGAGTTTTCTTTCAAAGAAAAATATGAAATACTATAATAAAACGAATAATTATAACATAAAAGAAAAATCTATTTACCTTTTGTCTTGTTTCTATTTTTGTTATTATATATTTAGTTTATGGTATCAGATCATTTATCAGTTATTAGTTTTAATGTATCATAAATGAACTAATAAAGCAAACAATTAATAATAATAGTTTTAGTACCGTTTATTAGGCAATAAAAATACAGAATCAGAGAAAGGTATAATATATCTCTAGTTTATTAATATCAATTTATAAGAAATAATTCAAATAGTTGTACGATAATCACATACAATAATGCTACGGACACTAGCATTTTTACATCTAAATCTTGTATCGACCTATGTGTCTTGTGATTAACACAAGTAAATCAGACACGTTTCACGTTATTAAATTTTTTTCTAGTGAACGATCGTTCATCAACTATGGACGGTCGTTCACTTATTATGGACTCCTGTCCATATTATATGGACGGGGGTCCATTTACTACGGACGGGCGTCCCCATTTAAAGGACGCCCGACCATAATATAAATATAAAAAAAATTTGGACGCCTGTCCCTAACTTGTGGATGGGCGTCTCTAACGTGTGGATTGGCGTCCACATATAAGGGATGCCAGTCCATACTTAAAAAAAAAAAAATTTTAAATAAAATAAAGGGACAGCCGTTCACCATTTCTGGACGGCCGTCCCTTAATCAAAATTGGAGGTTATCTTCTCCTTGAGTCCACTAATCACGTCTTCGGCTCATCAATCTCTTTCTCCAACTCAGTAATCTTGGCCTCCATTTCCTTGGATTTGCTCTCTGATTCCTTCAAACTTCCCTCCACTGACTTCTTCTCAACTATCCACTTATCCAATTCAGACTCCAAAACATTAACTTTCTTCTTACACCCACTAATTTCCCTCTCTTTGTCGTCAATTTTTCCCCTCATTTCCTCTTCAACTCTCACGCTTTTACTCTTCTCTTCCAATTCCCTCACTTCCAAAGTCCCAACTTTTCTTTCCAACTCCTTCACTTTCTTCTCACTATCAACTTTCTCACTCTTCAACCCATCAATTTCTTTCTCTAATCCCTCCAATTTAACTCCCTTCTCTCCCAGACTCTTCTTCAACTCTACCACCTCAACACTTGTCTCATCCCCTAGATGCTGTCAAAAATCTGTAATTTCTCTTTTATCAATTTCTTTCTCAAAAATGCTGTCAGAAACGACCTTTCTTCCCTAGATGCTGTAAAAAATCTTTAGGAATCCTGACTCTCTTTGTTGTATCAAACTGATGGCACATGAGGGACGACCGTCCATTCCTTGTGGACTGGCGTCCAATTATTTTTTAATTTTTTAAAAGCATTGTTAATGGACGGGCGTCCATTACCATATGAATGACCATCCATTAATTTTGTTTAATAAAATTTTATTATTAAAATATTGGACGAGCGTCCATTATATGTGGACGCCCGTCCATTTTTTGGGATGGCCGTTCCTAAGTTATGGATGGCCATCCCTTAATTTTGTTTATATTTTTTTATTTCATTTTACTGATGGACAACCGTCCTTTAAATGGGGATGCCCGTCTGTAGTAAATGGACCCCCGTCCATATAATATGGACGGGAGTCCATGTAAGTGAATGACCGTCTATTTTTGATGAACGGCCATTCACTGGAAAAAAAAATTAATAACATGAAACGTGTCTAGTTTGCTGGTGTGAATCACAGGACACGTAGGCCGGTACAAGATTTTAGTGTAAAAATACGATGTCTGTAGCATTATTGAATCACATAGACATTATTTTAAAAAAAAAATGTCAGAAAAAAAAATGCTTTACAAAATCATCTATTTAGTGAGCATTTTTGGGTCATCACAGGATCGTGCTGAACAATGATTTTCATTTGAGGTTGGGTTCATGCGATAGTTTCATTTTGCATTTCATTCCGCATGTAATGATGTAAACTGCATGAGAATTATCACCCATAGACTTATTATATGCATATTTCCATCTGAATTTATGATATGTACCATTTTGTTTTTAGAAAAAGGATTTGATACTAAAGATTTTTCTTTCAAAGAAAAATATGAAATACTATAATAAAATGAATAATTATAACATAAAAGAAACAATTATTTACCTTTTGTCTTGTTTCTATTTTTGTTATTATATATTTGTCAAGAAAAAATAAGTCCTAATTAATAAATATATTTTTTAAATAATTAGACAATTTTTGGTTTGCTACCCTGCCACCTCTAGGGTATGGAAACTTACAATTCTACCGCTAATGGAGTTTTGTTCAAATTAATGATGGTGCAAAGGATTAGAAAGACATTTTTAATAGACGGTTAGCCTTTTTTACATCCGAGAAACACAACAATACCAAAATAATTTGCCTTCTTTTCAAAATGGATACTATGTAAGATAATTTTCCTGATAAATTTAAGATCTTAATTTAGTTTATTTTCTTATTTTATTTTACTTGTTTTCTCTATTTTTTTTTTCCTTATGTTATGCCAAAGGAAAATAGGACTAACTAATTTTATGTAGCGCCCACATTGAGGTACGTAGCTTTACTTATGCCCTTATACCCTTAGTTCAATTTTCTTAAAGTTATCTTGAATCAGTGTGAAGAAAATGCCTTAAAATTTCATTAGGGGTAAAACGGTCTTTTCACTCATAATTAGTTGAAAAAGTGGGGAGTGAAAAGAGAGAGAATTTCATGGAGAATGCAATAAAATGAGGGCATTATGGTAATTGACTAAGGGACATAGATAGAATTTCATAGAAAGTGAAATGGTAAAATGGGAAACTAGAAATAATATTTTGTTATATCAAGAGTTGAAGAATGAAACCCTAGCCATTTCTTCTTCTCCATTCACGTCACTTACCACCCAAGTTCTCTCAAATTTCTTCAATCATTTTTCAAGGAAATTCATAGATCTTGGTTTATTTTTAGTGAAATTTCAATCTCAAGCATCCTTAGGTAAGATCCTTGTACTAAGATATGAGATTTAATTTTTAAAGTGTTGAATTCTTATGATTTGTGTTCATAGGAGTTAAGAGAAAGGGAGTTGTGTCAAGGAAGACTACTAAAGTGTTGGATTGCTCACATCTAAGGTAAGTAAATCCAACCCTAGTTATGATTGGAATAATATTGTGTAGAGAATTGCTTTTATGCATGTATGTGCTTATATATGACGAATTGTTGATGGAATGGATGTTGAATGATGGTTAGAATTTATCAATGAGAAATAGTGTTTGCGTACTTGATGTTTGATGAGAGTTTGGATGAATTATGGAAGAATTGGAGTAGAATTTATGGAGTGTGAATCCTGGACAGGTTTGACGTTAATCTTGGTGTGTTTTATTCCAAATATTAGTGGCTTAGAAGAGAGGTAGAAGTGTAGCCAAATTAGAGTTGATGTGTGCATATAAATTATTTGATAAAATGTCAAACAGAAGTGCATGTATGAGTATGATTATTTGTTATCTTGAGATGAGTTTGTAGATGGTAGAGAATGACATGTTTACATTCCATATTGCATTATTGCATCCAAACATGTGAATTTAGAAAGAATAATAAACATGAGACCATCTACATGCATACATACTCATAAGAGCATTAAAGAGCAATATTGAACATTAAAGTTAAAGAAAAAATAGAAAGAAATGAGAAATATTAAAGAAGTTAAGATCTGAAATTTTATTTGAAGAAGTGTAACAAGATAAAAGAAGAAAAGGTTGTTGCGATGGGGAACCTGTGAGTGACATAGCCTCGCATGCACGCCGCCTTTAGTGAGTAGCCTCAGAATCAGAAAGAAGAATTGTAAAGTCCGTTAGAAGTGCATGTGGATGAGGACTGTACCCAGAATTAGAGAATACACTCACACGGCCAGGATTCCAAATCCATGCCTCAACTGACTCCGATCGGCAAGAAAGAAAGAAAAGAATTGAAAGAATAGAAAGAAAGAAAGAATAGAAAAGAAAGAAAGAATAGAAAAAAAAGAAAGAATAGAAAGAAAGAAAGAAAGACTAGAAAAGAAAGAAAGAAAAAAAGAAATACAGAGAAAAGAAACAGAAAACAGACTAAGAAAAATAGAAAAAAAGAAAAGAAAATGCACATCCTATGCATTTGTGCATTTACATCATACCTATGCATGATACCATGCCTACTATCATGAGTAGTGAGAAATAAGAATAGAGAAAAAATAGAGAAAGAACAGAGGAAGAACAGAGAATTAATAGAGAAAGAACAGAGAAGTGTGATGTTAGGAAAGAAATTTAGAATGTGAACAATGGAGAGAGAAGAGTAGCATAGCGGGTTTACTTACTAAGTAATTAGTGCTCACCCCGTTGTTTTTAATGTTTTTGTAGGTAGTAGGTAAGATGTGGTCGCTTGGCACATCAAGAAGCGGAAGGTTTTGGCAACACTGTCGATTTATGTTTTGTGACTTTGTTATATTATATAAAAAAAATTAGTTATGGGCCCATTATTTTAAACTCATCTACTTGTATATTTTCTTATATATTTTTAGTGAGTTTTTCTATTATTTTACGAGCATACTAGCAAGAGAAAGAGTATTACATTTTTGGTATTAGAGCAAAGGTTTTGGGATTTGACAGTGTGCCTCTTCCGCCGCATTGATGTTCCGTAGTCGACCATTGTAAGTTATTTCTTTCCTTATTTGTAGTAGATGAGTTAATTGAGTTGACTAAAAGTGTTGGTGTTATGTAGATGAGACGTAGAACTTGAGCAGGCAGTAAGAAGGCAATTAGTACGGGTGAACCTTCCAACCCTTCAGAATCTACTCCCCATGTCCTCGATAAAGCGATGATCCGTAGTATTATACAGCAAGTCTCGGTAGAGAATTGAGAAGGCTCTGTACCAGAGAGAGTTGAGACCTTAGTTATTGTACCGACCCTTAGAGAGGAGAGGAGAGAGAGAGGCCAGTACCTCTGGTAGTATAGAATCGTATTGAGCGGATATATGAGCTACCTAATCAACATCAGCCGTCAGAATTCAGTGGTACGGCGGACCCAATAATGGCAGACGAGTGGTTTAGATCCGTGGAGCGTACGATGGCATTTTTCCCTATGACAAACTGGGAGAAGATTCAGTATGCAAGCTTCCTGTTTAGGGGTGATGCCCGTATATGGTGTGAATTGATGGAGAATACTCACGATATAGCCTCGATGACTTAGGGAGATTTCAGAAGATTATTTGAGGTAGAATATAGAACAGTTGATCGAGTTCATGAAAAGGTTCAGGAGTTTATCAGTTTGCAACAGGGGACTAGTTCAGTGAAAGAATATTAAGTGAAATTTAATTCCTTGGCAAGGTTTGCGCTAGGTGTAGTGAGTACACCAGAATTGAGGAGAAATAAGTTCGTGCATGCGCTAAAAATTGAAATAGCCTAAGATGTGATGGTCGGTGCCTAGCCTTCTCAAACATACAGTGAAGCTTTGGAACAAGCCTTCCGGGCAGAAATATTTGTGAATAAGCTAACCCTAGCAACTTCATCAGCAGTAGCCCCTAGTTTTCCACCTTCTACTCCACAGAGAGATAGAGTTGATGCCCCCACTAATAGAGAGGTGAGAAATAAGAAAAGATTTCAACCCAAGAAGAACATGAGGGATTGGTAGAATAAAAGGCCGTGAACTGTTGAAGTTCTCCATAGCCAGAAGTGTGGAAGAAATTATTCTGGGGAGTGTCTTAGAGATTTGGGCCGAAATGTATGCTATAGATGCTGGTAGCCAGGGTGTATGATGAGAGATTGCAAAGCCCTTCTTGCACCCATAGTGCAGACACCTAGAGGTACTAATGCTCGAGTGTTTACAGTAGCTCAGAGTGAAGCTGAAGCTAGCGCATCCGTAGTAACTGGTCAGTTATTATTTCACTTAGTTCCCCTTTATGCATTAATTGATTCTGGAGCCACACATTCATTTATTACACATGGGATTTTAGAGAGATTAGGTTTGAAACCTATTATAGTGGATTGTCCCATTAAGATAGAGTTACCAGATGGTGTTAGTGTGGTAACTCAAGAGATGCTTCCAGGGGAGTCCGTAGTGATCTATGGAAGAGAGTTGCTAGTGGATTTGATAGTGTTTGATAAGCCTGATTTTGATGTTGTTTTGGGCATGTATTTCCTAGGGAGATTTGGAATAGAGATTGATTGTCGGAAGAAGAAAGCAAGATTTAATCTTAATGATGCTAATAAGTTTAATTTTGGCAAGGGTCACGAGCTTAGTATGTTAATTAGCAGTGTAAATGCCAGAAAAATGCTAAGAAAAGGGTGCTCGGGGTATATTGCTCATGTAGTGCACAGTAATGATATCCCAAAACCAGAGATTAAGAATGTGCCAATAGTCCGAGAGCTTTTAGATGTATTTCTATAAG